ACTGTACATAACTAGCCTCAGGATCCAGAGTTTCATATAGTATTAACTAGAAACTACTAAACATGAAACTTGTATTTGGCCACTGAATTATGGTCTTTCCCCTTAAACAGAAGTAGAAAATGCTAGTGAATAAGAACAGAAGAACTAAGAAGCTTATGCTGAGTAAATGCAACATCTGTGCAGACCACACAATTGTAATAAAATATAGAAATGCATGTACATATACTTGTACATAAATATTCAAAGATGAACCAAATGTCTAACAAAGCTGGCTAGTTATACCCTGAGCCAATCCATAGGGTAATGACACAATTTCCAAAATTAATAATAAAACTCTAAAAATCCAACTGAAGAAGAAAGAAAAAAAGCCTAGTTCAGGGGTTCTCAACCTGTGGGTTCCCAGATGTTTTGGCCTTCAATTCTCAGAAATCTGACTGGTTGGGAACCACTGGCCTAGACAAAGGATAATATGTGGGGCCATCCCATTGGCCATACTTGTTAAAAGTACATTCAGATCTGTCTTGAACTCTGGCAGATATAGCAACAGCTGCCAAGTAAATAACAGTTTGTAGATGTGGAGCAACTCTTAGGAACATACACAAGTTCTTTTCCAAAGTTAAATATGCTTTGTCTCAATGCACCTTTAACATGAAACCATACTGAGGTAGATCAGATTATTCTGAAGCCACTTTGAGCCAAATTTTCAGTCTATTGTTTATGGGGTTACAGGCTGCAGCATCATAGATACACTACAATACAACAGTTAAAGCTCTGAAATTCAGAACAACAGTTCTGAGAGTCAGGGTTTAACTGCTCTTGGGACAAATTCCCAAATTGTAAATCAAATCCTACAAATCCAACTGAAGAAGAGAATAGAAAAAAGCCCAACTGAAGGCTGATATGTGGGCCACCTTAGTGGCCATACTTGGAGCCAGCTCTGTACTTGCAGAGGGGTGAAAATGAAAGATGTCACCTCCCACCAGGTTTTATGGATTTTGGAAAACACCAACCAAGTTCTATGCTCTTTCTAGAACAGTGAAAGCCAAATGATGAAATCTGAAGGGGATTCACCACTTCCCTGGGCACACAGAAGACTGGGCGACTTGGAAGGCATTGAACAGAGTGTGCTCTGACACCATGAGATGCAGCGCCAGTCTTAAGAAATGGGGCTACAAAGTGGAGTCCATGACATGCGACTGTAGAGAAGAGCAAACAACAAACCACTTACTGCAATGCAGCCTGAGCCCTGCCACATGCACAATGGAGAACCTCCTTACAGAGGCACTCCAACTAGTCAGCTTCTGGTCCAATGACATTTAGTATAATGTCAAAATTTTGTTTCTGTTTTTAAATACATTATAACTACATATACTCTCAATTTGCTTCTGACACGATAAATAAATAAACCACTTCCTTTGCAGAAATCCAAACTAGTCTAAATGAACATAACATTAATCTGAAATGAATACCTCCAGAAGAAATATTAGAACTACTGTGTTACCTGTCAAAAGATGTAAGAAAGAGTTTATATACTCAGAGACACTCTCATAGGTCACTGACACTGCAAATAAATCTCCTAAAATTCAAATGTATGGGTGTAACAAAAGTGCTTTAATTCCTCTTTATAGATATAAAATTGAAATAAAAGAAACATTTCCAGATTCTTAAAGAAATGCAGTAGCAATAATTCTTTAACACAGATGATATACACAAAGGCACATCATACACATCCATACCAGAGGAACTCAGTCAGTTTATAGATTTTGCAATAAAGGGAGTTCCACTTAACTTCCTTATGTCATAATACAATATAGTGAATGAGTTTTAACACCAATTACATATAAAGGAATCAAAAAAAATTTACATTTTAATACAGAGTATAGTGTCACTCCTTTCTTGAAACAGCTGCTGTGTTGCTGCCTTTGAAAGTTTACAGGTTTTTAAAGGATATGGGACACAATGCCAATTATATCTTTGGTAATTTGTTATCAGTTTTTCATTCTGACAGCAGATTATTTGTCCACATGCTGGCAATCCCTTGGCAGCAACCTTAGAGTGGGCTTTCAATTGGCCAAGGTAAATAAATTTTGTTGAAAAATGAATAAAATTGTAAAAGGCAGAATAATCCCTGTAATTAAAATTTGGCTTGGACTGAACAAAATTCCAAAGATATCCATAATGCACAAGAAGAAGGAGAAGAGGAGGAGGAGGAATAATAATAGTAATAATAGTAATAATAATAATCATCATCATCATCATCTTTATTTCTACCCCACCACCATCTCCCCAGAGGGACTCAGGGTGGCTCACAAAAGCACTCAAGGTGCAAACACATAAAATGCAAAAGTGCATGACCAATATCACAACAACAATTTTCACTCAACCCATCCAAGTTTTTGGCCATAGGCACCCAATATATTCACATGAAAAAAATGGAACAAAACAGCAAATATTCAACACCGCCAACATTTTCCTACAGAAATGGCACCATGGAAGAGAGAGTACTGGGGGTTGTAGAGTAACCTTTTTGGACTATTTTCACAATGAACTTCTTTATGGGACTTTCTTCTATCTTGCATCATGAGACAAAACACTTCAGAGGATTTCCAAGACTTTGGGTGCATTAATTCTGACTCCATACTAGATCCTGGTCATGTTTGGTCATAGTTTTAAGAAATAATTTACTGTGAATATGTTTACTTAAAAATAGTTAATTAGAAAGTAATATTTGAATAGCTACACTGCAGTGCATTCTGTAAGCTGTAACATGGCATTGCACATGTGCTAGAAAAGTAAACAACATATTCTTGTATTTTCAAAAGGGATCAAATACAAATTCCAAATTAAATATGTAAATAGACACAGATTTAAATCCAGGACATCAATTATTCTAACATCAGAATCCGATCATGTTCTACACACAAGTCTTCCTAGGACAATATGGTCTGAAATTCATTGTACTATTCACACACACAAAGAGCACAATGTAAGAATACTCAGTCTGGGACTTTGTGTTCTGGCAGCATACAAACATAAGAACAGCTTTCTAAGCCCTTAATTTCTGAACAGCTGATTTCTACTACACAATGGTCATTATTTAAAGATTTATAGAAAATGTGGATTTAGTACCAGTGAATCGAGCTGATGTTCAAATCTTTGGGCCTTTTTAATCTAGAAGAAAAAGGTTTTCCCACTCAGTGAGATACATTTCTGTTGTTGATTCTGTTTTCAAGTTCAGAGACTTTCAGAAAATGTTTCTGGCTTTGTTTAGAGAAGAGAGTCAGTGTTGTTTTGGCTTGATTTAATTTCCTCAGCTTGAACATTTTAAAATAATAATTGAATTTATTTTGCTGAGGAAACCATGGAACAGAATCACTGTGTAGACTTTTTAATAGCTTACTGCATGCAGTGAGAAAACTGTATTAGACAAAGAACAAAGATACTTGCTTTCTTTTCAAAATAACATGATGTACAGCTGCGAGTGCAGTCAGACTCCCTTAACCATGGATTCGATATCCACAGTTTCACTTATCCACACTCCTAAATACTATACCAGAAGTTTTTGTGGGCCTCTTTAGTGCACAATATTATTTCCATGATATTCTTTCAGCCCAAGCATAGTCAAAATATAGGGTTCTCTACAATCGTGTTTCATGTATCAAAGGGCCTTGGAGCACATCCCTTGAAATACTAGGACTGGATCTACACTGCCAAATAATGTGCAGTATGAATAACATTTTATGGACAATGTAGACCCATATAATGCAGTTCTATCTGCATTACATGGATCTAAACCAGGCATCCCAAAACTCCATCTCTCAAGCTGTTTTGGTGTCCAACTCCCAGAAACCCTAGCCAGCTTGTTCAATGGTCAGGAAATTCTGGGAGCTGGAGGTCCAAACAGCTGAAGGGCAGAGTTAGGGGGTGCCCAGTCTACACTGACCATATAATAAAGTTCAAAATGCATTATATGGCAGTGTGGATCCAGCTAGGATAATACTTTATATCACCTCAAAATTCACAACGAGAATGAAAACATATTTTAAATGGTATTATGCTACTCTGCCCATATGGGAGAGCACTACAAGTCACACCTGCTATCTTGTACTATATTCCTAAATCCAGGTTTTGGAATATTTTGTCTTTCTATATGGCTTTTGTTGGAAAATCAATCTTCAAGATGCTTCTTATTCTTTCCACAAAGGTTACATTCAAAACTTGTTCCTACATCATCCTTTGCTTTAGAGATGGCTGTTCACAATAAATCATATCAAGCACCTACTATTAATCAATTGAATCGAAGGGCTTTGCCCCATTGTTATCAGAGAAAACCAAAACAGCTAATGTCCATACGTACAGAAAAGCATATATATTACAGCTCAAGAATATATTCCTACAAATAAGTAGGAACACCACAGAAACCTTGTGAGAAACAATAAAAAAAAAGCCAAATGGTCTACTTAGCAAGTATCCTAAACACTATTCTCATTAGGAAATCCTATACTGTATCGGGACTACTGATTCTTTTCTTATGATTTCAAACTTTTAGAAATTAAAGTTAAACTTTCTGGAAATTTTAAAATGCAAGCCAATTAGTGTCTATGTCTTGACAAGAAAATATTCATAACCCAAACCACAGAAACTATTCTAACTTGTTTATTTTTAGTCTATTATTTATGATAAACAACAAATCAATATAACCAGCATATGGGGGGGAGGGGAGGACGACAAGAAAATAAAAAGATAAAAACCAGCAGCATTCACTATTATGATACATAACACACTAATTCACTATCATAACCCATGTTAGCAAAACAGGATCTGAAAATCGACATAGCTCTACCTCAGTGGTCTTTACATTTGGCATATGAATTAAGAAATAAGTGTTAGGTGTGTACATAGCAGGATATTATGGAATGACATTTCAAAATGCATTTTTTCATGCAAGAGAAAATATCTATTTGAAGGGAAAACATGCATTGCAATGAACCTCGTCTTACCTGTGTTTGTTCAGTGGAACTACTGCTGAGTTCATCTCCAGATTCTGAATCTTGATGGAGTTTTTCTGAGCTTTCTCCTGCAGAATCACAGGATAGCTCTTGCAAGAAGCTAGTCTTTTCTATTTCCATACAATCAGAACAAGGGAAATGGGACACAGAGTAACTCTTGTTCTGAATGGGAACTTTAGGAAACTGGAATTCACTAAATTTCCCATTATTCTGTGCATGGTCCAGGTTGAGACTAGGATTCCTACCCGGGCTACTGCTTGGTCCCAGATTCTGATTGGCATCCCGAATTGGTCCCAACATTTGTACTGGAGATGATTTTCCAAAACTAGAAAGCTCTGGAGATTTGTTCACATTTTCCGTTGACCTCTGTAACCCATGCATAAGTTTCAGGGTGCTATTTGGTAGCACACTCAATTGTTTAATAGGTGGCATTAGTGCTTTGCGAGTTACTTCTTTGACATACTGTGCTGGCACATAGAAGGGCTTGGAATTTTCTTCCTTTTTTACTTGCCACCAATCATCATTAGTCTTCTTCACTAAAATATATCTCTCTCCTTGCTTAATCACAATCCTTTTGTCCTTTGCTTCATAGTCATAGTCATATTCAACTTCAATGTATAATGGACCTGAAAGAATTTTTCCACTCTTGTCAGCCATTTCTCTTTGAAAATGATGTTCACCTTTCCAACTGAAAGGTTAGCTGCATTATGGTTTTTCTTCCTCCTGTAGCTCAACAGATCTGTAAGGAAAACATACATATTACCATTTTATCAGCAGTAAATTTTAACTATAATTCTTTGATTTCAAATGCACTAACAAAATCTTTCAACAGTAACTTTACTTTGTATTTTTGATAAATAGAAATAAAAGTCTGTTGATTTTTTTTTGCATTCAGTGTAAACTATGTTGTATCTCTTAATAGCCAAAAGTATCTGAACTAAAACATTTATGGGTTAGGGAAGATTCAAAGTTATTATTACGGAATACTTATAAATATTTAATACGTGACAACTCAATAGCATATTTCCCTTTTGTTGTTTAGGATTAAAGAAAAAATAAGGCACTGAACAATGTTAACATACACAAGTGTGCACTCTCTGGAATAATCGTAGGAGGAGGGATTACAACTTGACCTTTGATTTGACTAGTGATTTATCCATTCCTACTACCCCATCTGACTTGTTAAAAAAACAATGTCTTTCTAAAATGAAGTGGGGAAATTCATTTAAACGTGACTGCACTCTCCCTCTGATCTACCATCATCCACATTGCTATGCTTTCACTATAATTTCATTTAAGTATTTTTATTTTACTCACAACACACATTGAAAGAATTTGCATTAATGGGGAAGGATATTAATATAATGAATAAGTATTTTCATGAAACCCTACATATACAACTCATTTATAAACTGAACTAGTGAATCTTGTCTTACTGCCTAATCTTGATTTTAGAATAACTACGCAGTAATCTCAGAAAAGTAATATATATTCTGCCAAACACATACATTGGGCTGCATTTTCCATTTTATAGGCCTAAAATAACAAATTTAAACAACATTTCTAGATGTGCATGTTTGTTGGCAACCAGCAAAGAGCAAGTGGCTAAGCCTATTGTTTCAGTTACTTAGCAAGGTGGATCAAATCTTTTTTTATCCTAAGACAATCCCTTGCTTACGTAGAGGATTGATTTAGCACAAGTATTATTAAACTGGGAGAGGGGGGGAGGAATTGTTTTGTTTCTTCTGCCTTCTGTTCATAAAGCACAGATGACTCATGGACTGAGTGAGGGACAAGTCTCCCAACCATTTCAAGGTGAATATAGGCACAAGCAGCCACAGTCACCGAGGCTTCTTCGGTACACTTTAATTCTAGGTATTTTTCCATAATTTTCCATCTTCCATCAAGCTAATATATCAGAAATAATCAGCAAAACAACTGAAATATATTATCAATGATGAAAATTGTCTTGAGTTCTTGGGATTATAAATTTACTCTCTTAAACCATGCTTAAAGAGCACATGTAGAAAATAATTTTAACAACATATTGATGACTCAAAATATATGTTGCAATCAGATATAGAAACAAGTTCTCAAAATTGCAGTGATATAAACTGTTTTAACAAGGATTAAAGAGATCAACGTTGTTATATATAGACCAACCAGTCACCAGCTGGAAGACTTTACTGGAGCTAATAGAACAGGAACTGACATTTGGGTCTTAATAACTTCCAGAATTCTTTAGTTATAGCACCTTTCTCCCAGGGACCTTAAGGAAGTATGCACAAACCTCCCACTCAGTGTTTTACTCATACACCAACTGATTTGGTTCACTTCAGCAAGTTATATGCATTTTGTGCTTTAAGGTTATGATATTAATGGAGACATCAGCTCCATTAACATGGGGACCATGTTTCATAGGAAGACTCAGAAGACCCATGCTAGAGAAGGTCCAACACTCCTAAGACATCTGGATAGGGGCCTCCATATGTTAGCCTGGCCAAGATGATATGAAATGAGAGATTTATGTACCCAGGTCACAAGCTATATAAACAAAGACAGCCCTACAATGATGCAAAGTGAAGTCACTGCTTCAGATAGCAGATCACAAAGAGTAGCACACAGGGCTCCTTATGATCTCTTTCAACAGCCCCTTTTCTTAACTACCACTGCTTGTACTTGCAATGGTTAGATCAAGGCATTGCTATTTCTCACCATCTGTACCTTTGGCCCTGCACCCAGAAAATGTCAATGTTGGGAGCATAATACCATACTGAAAAGCTTGCCAGATTGCGACTGTGTTTTGAAAATGAAGAGAAATTATTTTAAAGCTTCATAAATGAAACAAAACATCTGTGTCCTATCATAATTACAAGAAACACTAGCACTGAAATAGAGTCCCAATTATTTCAATTATTTCCTCTTGTAACAGAGCAAGCAGGGAATCAAACCCATTTACAATCTCCATATTACGATAGTTGGAATAATAGAATCTGCCATACTCAGCCCCTGGTATATCCAGCAGGATTAAGAAAGACTCCTGCCAGAAAATCATCCTAGCTACTGCCAACAAATGAACAGAAGGATGAATGGTTTCACAGTATAAAGCGATTTCTTATATTTCATCTTCCTATATAATCTAGGGAGACCACAGCGGCGCACCAAGTTAAACCGCTAAGACTCAGAACTTGCTGACTAGAAGGTCAGCAGTTCAAATGCGCAGGACAGAGTAAGCTTCCGTTGTTAGTCCCAGCTTCTGCCAACCTAGCATTTTGAAGACATGCAAATGCGAATAGATCAATAGATAGCGCTTCGGCGGAAAGGTAATGGTGCTCCGTGCAGTCATGCTGGCCACATGACCTAGGAGGCATCTACGGACAACGTCGGCTCTTGAGCTTAGAAACAGAGATGAGCATTACCCCCCCAGAGTTGGGCTCAACTAAACTTCATGTCAAGGGGAAACCTTTACCTTTACTATATGATACAGAATGTCCTTTTTATTTTTAATCCTTTTAAGCAAAATCCATATTCTAGATATTCACTTGATGAATAGAGAAAAACATACATACCTGAAACAGACTGGTTGTATCTGCACACAGAGCACACTCTTACTTCCTTTCTCCCTTCATGAAAGCCAAGAAACCTGAAAATTCTAGTTATCTCTAACTTTCCATTATATATAATCAAGCTTAAAACCATAGCTTGAGGTAGATTTACAAATCTAGTGCTTGTTCAAGAACAATAAGCCATACTTCACACATAAGAGAACTCTACTGTGAATTTCAACTTCCTTTTTAGTACTCCAGCTTGTACAAAAAGGCCAGATATGTCCTCACACACACCCTGCATATCAACTTTTAAATGCAGGACATATGTGAAAATAACTTCGTCTTTCTACCAATTGATTTTACTGTTGCATGTACATCATTTTCTCCTTCCACGTGTGCTACTGATGCATTGAACACACAATAGGAAAGGTTCCAGAAGAAACATGTAACTTAACACATTTAAATTTACTGTCTAATGTCATAAAATATTTCTTAGATGCCATTTCTGAAGACTCTTGCTTTTGCTGGAACATACCTATAGCCAGTGTTGGAAAGATAAGACTAGATCACATTGGTGGCAGACAGGAAAAAAGAGGTATGCATCATCACTATTATGAGAGTTCTGGATTGTAATCCTTAAATCTCTTGGTACTGGGATTACATCCCATTGCATTCAGTCATGCTTATTTCTAAACCTGCATGCACAGGATTGTTCTGCATGAATCAGAAGGGGGGAGGCTTCACACAGCAAGTGGCATTATAAACTAATTTGTACTTTCAAAGTGTAGATGGAATGTAGGAGGCAATAAAAGCACAGTACCGTGACTTTAAAACCCACACAATTCACCAAACTCATGCAGGACAAGGAAGGGTATGCAAAATCTGAACTCTTCTAATTTTCAAAGCAGAAACGGCTGTAACAAGACAAATCTTTAACACATTCAGAAATATTATGATTGTGTCATAGCACATCTATAAAAACTAATGATCTTCTATGGTACTTCCTTTAAAACAAATTCCCTTATTTAAAAGCAAAGTCTTTTAAAAGCAATTAGAATAGCTAACATAATTACTGGTGTCATGTCAGAATTATTAGCCAAGAATCTAAGGCTCAAATAATAAAATGTTAAATATGCTTCAGTATGACCTTATGTTGTCTAGTACAGTGATTGTAACTTGTGGTCTGCAGACCCTCGGGGGACGCAATGTCTTCCTAGGGGATGAGCAAAGGCTTGAAGTAATATTATGAGCTTTTATAGTAAAGAAAAGAAGGAAAGCAATACAGTAGAGTCTCGCTTATCCGATTTTCACTTATCCAACATCCCATCTTATCCAACGCCCCCTTTTCCTCCAGCATTTCTCCTTCAATTAAATGAGTGCTCCCCAACTCTCTCTCCATTCCCAATTAGTGAAAAAGGCAAGATGAGGAGGAGGGAGGAAAGGGGGGAAAGAGGCAGGACCGGAAGCCCTCTGTGATTTCCATACTTCTATTCCACACCCTGGCACTTCCTGCTGGGTCACTCTAGCCCCAAGGCATAGCCTTATCTTAACCCTTTAAGTCCCTGTTGTTAGTATTCTAGGTGTCTAGCACCGCATCGAACAGGTAACAGTAGGAGACAGTGTATTATCCAACATTTTCATTTATCCAACTTTCTGCAGTTTATGTCAGATAAGTGAGACTCTACTGTACATGATGAATGGTCATATGTTGCTATCAAAGATCAAGAGGTTTATTTTAATGAATAATGGACAATTGTTTATTTCTTTATAGAATTTATAACCTGCCTTTCTCTCAAGGTGAGATCCAAGGCCACATCATTGTCAAAAATTATGAAAATAGCTAGTTGACAGCAAAAAAAATGTACTCAGTTCTTGCTAAGTTTGCGCATGGTGCAAACATGCAAGTGAATGATACTGAGTGGCTGAGGGAAATTATGTGATATTTCCTTCTACTGTGTATACAACTAGATATAAGGTTTGTAAGTGAAATGCAGTATTAGCCTTCTCATTATTTACTTAATTAAAATTAACAAATAATATTAGGGCATAGTTCAGTATTGCTATTTTTATTGTTATTATAATAATAAATCCATATAGAATAATTCCAATAAAATTATAATAAGCATGTGTGCATTTATCTATTTCTCTCTTCTCTCCAAATTTGAAAACCTCTGATAAGCAACTTGAAATG